GTTAGTTGCAGTGGGGGCCTTATCAGGGGGTTCATCTGTGCTCTGGTCCTTCGGGTGGACAGAGGCCTCCAGCATAAGGTGCTTGGTGACCGCCGGCTGCCCATCGTGCTCCACCTGGCAGGTGAGCACCACATACTCTCTGTGGGCAGGTAAATTCACGAGGAGCGAACTCATCCGGTTAAAGTTTCCGTCCTTGTTCTCTGTGAGGGTTGAGGCCGTTTCTGTTTGGAATATGTTTCTGTTCTCCAACCAGGTCAGCTGTAGGCGCTGGGGGTAGAACTTCTTCACCTGGCAGGTGACGTTCACCTGGTTCCCTGGCACAGGGTTGTGGGTAATCTCCACAGTGGGCGGAACTGAAACAGCACAGGCAGAAGCTCTGACCTCACGGAACAGACAGATCACAGGGGAGGGCTCCATCACTTAGCTCCCCCCACCACAGCAAGGGGGTCACCCAGGACAGTGTTAGGCATTCAGCAGGTGCTCAAACACTGAGGGTGCTCCTTGCATATTAATGAAATCACTAAGCACAGTGCCCTGCACACAGTAGGTGCTCAAGGACTGGTAGCTCCTACTCGAGTTATATTAATGAAATGAAAGAGCACAGGCCCTGGCTTTCAGTAGGAATGCACTCACTGTAGCAAAACAAATGAAATCACCAAGCACACTGGGGCTTGGCTCACAGCAGGTGCTCAGTAACTGGAGTTGCTTTTGGTAAAGCAATGGAAGTACCTACACAGTGGTAGGTGTTCACCTGGAAGCTGCCATTAAACAGTAGTGAGTGACCAGCACATCCAGGTGCCTGGTGATGGGAAGGACTGTCAGGAATTAGATTCCAGGCAATTCCAGGCCTGGAGCAAAACCCAGGGGGAGGAGCCAGCTTGGAGGTCTTGGCCAGGTGTGGCTGTGTCTGGGTGGGAGGGGATCTACCTCGGATGGTCTCAGACAAGTTGGCCGTCCCACGAAGAGGAGAGCTCCCCTGCAGGGTGACATGGACCACCTCGCAGACCACCTGAGAGCGAATGTCCCCCGGGGCCAGCACCACTCTGGCTGTGCTGGAGACGCTGTAGGAAGCGCTGTCTCCCTCTGGGTTCATGGTGGTCAGGAAGGCTGGGAGCTGATTCCCATCTTTGAACCATTTCAGGACAATGTTTCGGGGGGAGAAGCCGTGGGACTCGCAGGTGAAGCTCACTGTCTGCCCAGGCGGAGCCCTCCCCGTGGGGCCTGATACCACGGGGGAAGAGGGTTTGGCTACAAAAGGAGCAAAATGAACAATAAACATGATTGTGATTATCACCACCAAGGATNCGACTCATGGCAGCCCAGCTCCAGGTTGAGCTGTTGTTCAGCATCTTAGCTGTGGAGGGCAGTGTCACTGGCCCTCATATGTGGGATCCGAACGGTGACCCTCTGGCATCCCAAGCCAGTTCTTAACCATTGCATCACTCGGCCAGCCTGAACCTGAAGTTCTTATAACAGTTCCCGGCACATGGTAGGTAACCAGTAAGTATTTGTATGATGTGTGAATTTCCCAATGCGACACATCCCTGAGATCCTGAAGCCTATTTTAAATGGGTAAATCTGTGAGAATTATGTGAGACACTGCGTTTCCCACCCAGATGACTTTGTGAGAAACAAGCATCTTGTGTAGACTCAGGAAGCAGAAGAGCCCAGGAGCAGAAAACCACAAACGCTCTTCCCACATCCACCTTCCTCACAACCATTTGCAGAAGCTCAGAAATCACATGGGTTGAAAATGAGGTAATTTTCAACCCCTGAGCTATAGGATCAGGCTCTATGAGTTCAAATCCTACCTCGACCATTCACCATTGAGTAACCTGAAACTCTCTGTGCTTCTGTGTTTTTTTCTGTAGGTGGAAGGGACAAGAGGATCTACCTTGGATACAGTGATCATATGAGATAACAGCCCTGAGCATTTCCAATCATGTCTGCAAATAGTGATTTTCAAGAAATTGAAAAAAGTTATTACTCATTATACTTCCTGGAGCCTTGAGGCTTTAACTGACATTAATGATATAGCTATGGATATAGATATGGATATAGCTATAGATATGAACATGGATATGGATATAACTACAGATATAGATCATACATGCAGCAGTCCCTGTATCTTTTATCCCCTCTTTCCCCCGCACCCCTATCCAGTATGAAAGAGGGGTTCCAAGATGGCAATACACAAAATTCTACTGATTTTACCAAGAGCAAAGCTTGCTTGTCTAAGAGTCTGAGGGAGGGTAGGGGTAAAATTACACAAGTAAGAAGGAGGGAGGGTGGCTGAGAAACAGGGGAACTAAACATATGTCCTTGTGTATTTCATGTAGAATGAAAAATGATTTGAAGAGAACAATAGGAATATATTTTCAAATGTCCCGTGTGTGTGTGTGTGTATGTGTGTGTGTGTGTGTGTATGTGTGTGTGTGTGCACTTCTTCACAGTCACTACACTCATACATATACACACATAAATACATGCATTGACAAATATATGTAAAGCTGTACCCTAGGACGCTAGCATGCAGATTGTTTTAAGGATTACATGAAATTATAACATATTTAAATGCTCAGTAACAACAATGATACATAGGAACCATCCAATGAGTCATTAATAAAAAGTGAACATGTGCACACAGCACAATTTCAATTCTGTTGTCTTTGAGTGGCCTGATGGGTGGTGACAGTTCTTTCATTTGTTTATCTGTGTTTTCTGATGTTTCTACACTAAGACTCCACTGAGCAGTCGAGTAGTATAACATAGCTAAAAAATGAACTTTGGAGATGTTCAGCCTGGGCTTGAATCGTGGCTGAATCACTGCCTTACATAGGTGACATTGGACAAGTTACTCTCTCTGCCTCAGTTCCCCCATCTGTAAATTGGGGATGAAAGGCATAAGTGTCACATAAAGATGTTGTGGGGATTAGATGAGTCAGCCCACACAAAGTTGTCGCTGTTGTGGTTTGAAGCATCATGTTTTGATGCATCTGGTAACCAGGTGCAGTTCATGGAGACAATGCTCACATCTCCGATTTCATGCTCTCAGATAATGCCCAGTCCTTGGCCTTCTGTGGCAGCCCTGAGTGACCCACCCCTGTTTTCCTGGAGGCTCTAAAATTCCAGGGGGAGGAGGTGGTGCAGGGGCAGGAGGAGGGAATTCTACCCAAGGAGTGCTCACCTGTGAGTCCCAGCAGTAGAGTCAGCAGCAGGCAAGGAGGAGGGCGGGGCCAGGAGGCAGGGATGGTCATCCTGGAGGCCTGAGCAGGCGGCTCTGTCCACATGTGGGCTGGAGAACCTGCACTCTCTGATCTGTGAGAGGAGTGAAGCCCCACCTCCTGTGATATAAGAGGAAGGGCCAGGATGGGCTGAAATGGCTGTAAGACAGTCGCCTGCTTTGAATTCTAGACAGTTCCTGCTTCTAGATTGTGAAATAGAACCAGGCAGTAACGGCAGCTATGTTGTGAGGAGTGACTCATCTTAATGATTTCAGAGAGACTTGGACAGGCCCCCAGGAAATGGTGCTTCCTCTCTGCTTGGAGCATCTGCTCTCTACTGGGCCACCACCCCATCTGAGGTCTTCATGGTGACGCCCCATTTGGGAACCCAGGCCAAGAAGGAACCGTGGTGTGGGCTGTGTCCCAAGCTCCCAAGTCCAAGACCCTGGGATGTGGGTTCACCTGGGCTCAGTGTTGGAGGGAGCCAGGTCTCCCCCCTGAGATGACTCCTTATTCTAACTCTTTATTGATGGACCTGGTAATATTTAGCCCAAATGCAAGTGCAACGTGGACTTCAGAACTTTAGGTGCCTGCATCCAACAAAAGGAATCCTATCCTGACATCTTCAGGAGAGGAAGTGAGTGATATGACCCAGCAATTACACTCTCAGACATTTATCTCAGAGGAATAAACTTATTTCCACATAAAAACCTTTGCACAAATGTTTATAGCCGTTCCCTCTGTAATAGCAGAAACCTGGAACAACTGTAATATCCGCAGTAAGTGAATAGTTTCACAAACTGTGGTGCATCTGTATAAGGAAATGCTCAACAACAAAAAGGAATTATTTACATGCGCAACAACTTGTAGGTTTCTCGAAGACATTGTGTTGATTGAACAAAAACAATCTCAAAATGTCATGTACTGTATTATTCCACATATATTGCATTCTGAAATTTAAAAAAAGGGAGCAGGTTGATTTTGCAAGGGGTTCAGTATGGTGAGGATGGGGTCACTATAAAGGGCTGGCACAGGGGGACCTTTTTGGTGTTAAAGTTTCGGGGGAAGAAATCTAGAGGAGTTTCCTATCTCAACTATTGGAGGCTTCCAATTCTTGTCTAAAAGTACCTAATAATTTTACATGGCCAAAATGGTTTAGAGTTTAAAATAGTGGTTACATTTTCAGTTTTTATTTTGACAACTACAAAATTTATTTTCACAAACTAAAAAGAAGCAGTGATCATCTACTCTCACTATTACTTCACAGCAATAAAAAGCCTTAATGTCAAAAACATATAATAAAGGATAATCCTTTAAATGAGATAGTTTTGGTTTTTTGCCCAGTTTCACTGAGATATAATTGACACATAATACTGTATTAGTTTAAGTGTACAGCCTAATGATCTGGTATGTGTTTACATTGCAAAATGACTACCACAATAAGTTTCGTTAACATTCATCACCTTGCATTGTACAAATTTTTTTCTTGTGATGACAACTCTTTAAGATTTCATCTTTTAGGAAGTTTTAAATGTTCAACACGGTATTGTGAACTATAGTACCATGAGTACATTGCATCCCCAGAACGTATTTATGGAGTCACAGGAAGTTTGTACCTTTGACCACCATCACTTATTTCCCAAGCCCAGCCTCTGCCTCTGGCAAACAATCTATTCTCTATATCTGTGAGATTGTCTTAAAAATTTTTATTAAATTCAAGAAGTGAGATCACACAGTATTTGTCTTTCTAGTGAGTTCCCTCCCAATTGTTGTGGGTGTGGTTTATGATGACATTGTGTCTAAGTCTCCTCTATTTATTTGGTTGTAGGATATTTTCTTGTTTGTCCAATGAGCATGAGTGGCTTAGCTATCTTCTGGATTACTTCTAAGCGAATTGTTCTGTTAGTAGATGTTGATTCAGTGAGTCCCTGGGTAAAGGTGATTTCAGGTGCCTCCTAAGTCACCTTCTTAAACCAGACTGGTTTAGATTTAAAGAAGAATCTTATTTTTTGAAGTCATTATGTTACCAACAAAGTTGGTGAGTTTGGTGCCAATTGGGCACAGAGAAGCCAAGTCTGACGAAATGGGTTTTCACACAGAAATGATTTATTCTTCCAGCTTCCAATTGAGGAGACTGGAGACAAGGCTCACATCAGTCTCTCTGAATAAAGACTTAGAGAAAATTTAAAAACAATGGTAGAAAGAAACTATACCTATTTATTAATTCTAATTTGAGAGTGTTGATTGGACAGCCTTGGAACTAAGTCATTTAGGAAACGGGGGAGGTGAGAGAAAGTAGAAAGGAATTCCAAGTTGGCAAGGTTTGATTGGGTGGGATCTAGGTGCCTGGCTAAGTGCACATTTCTGAGCACCCCTCACTTCTGAATATTGTCCACAAGGACCAGACCTGCAAACAGTTTCCGGGTAGAGGAGAATTTCGGTTCAGGCCTCCCATCAAGGTTAGTTGGAGTTCATTTGTTGTCTTCTGTGCCTGGGTAAGCCTCTGGGAGTGGGGATCTGACTTGGTCTTGTGGTCCCCGGGCTTGTCAGGAAGCCTGCTGTTATAGCAAAAAAAAAACCCCAAAAAACAAACAAAAAAAACCTGTGAGTGCAATTACATTAGGATTTGTTCCAGTTTCCCCTCATTTTAGTAAAAATGTACCCAAGTTAAAGCAAATATTGCTCTTGTTGTATGTAAAGAGATTCTTGGATCCAGGTGCCAGCCTACAAAGCAGAGAATTTTCCCAGGAAAGTTTGAGAATACCGTTAGGCAGCCAGGCCACTGAAAAAATTTTCACTATCATTACTTCACACTGCTGGAAAACATAAATAGTGTAAGTTCCTTAATAAACAAAGAATCAAAAAAGATGTATATTATGCACAATCTTCTTCCAGACCCTGTGTGATTCCATATGTTGCTCTCTCCTTTAAAGCCACCACAATCCTGTGTGGTTGCAAGATTCTTATTTATAGATGAGAAAATGGGTTCATAGTATGTTAGCAAGTTGGCCAAGGTCACATACTTAGCAAGTATGTCTTTTTCAGTATCTGAACCCAGGTCTCTGCCTTACAAAACCTCAGAGGATAAACATCTCTGCTGTGATTTGTCTAAAGGACTTTGAACACATCCATACTCAGTGTCTGATGGATCACAGGATTATAAGTCTTTAATGGATCATTTTGTACATAGATTTCTACACATAGACATTGTTGGCCAACAAAATTATTGAGAAATAATTATATACTTTATTTTTCTAGGAGAAATATTTTCAGTAGCCTGTCGGTTACTACAAATACAATTCCATAGAAGAAAGACTATTTTATACCAGTAAAATAGAAAGGATATACAGTAAATCCTTAGATTGCGAGTAACTTGGTTTGCAAGTGTTCCACAAGACGAGCAGTTTGCTTCCAGAACGAATTATGCTCGCAAACCAAGGTATTACTGTATTTCATTTCTTCATTCATTCAACACATACTAATTGTGTGTCCTGTTTGAAAAATCACTTAAAGTCTCTACAAATAATCCTTAAGGTATACAGTAAGTGAAAAAAATGTGTAATCAAGAAATATCAACTAAAGTAGACAAGAAAAGCAAGAGTT